TCACCAAATAAGTTTAATGTACATACTGGTAAAATTCGGGTTATTCGTGCATATAGTACGTTTAGTTCATCAAGTAAGTACAATGTATAAACTAGTAAAGTTAGGGTTATTCATGAATAGTACGCTTTATTCATCAAGTACCATGAATACACATGTGAAGTATAGGTTATTCGTGACTATAGTACGATTTGTTCACTGATAAAGTATATGTTTGCCATTCATATAGTATTGTTACACTCTATATATTATTGTGGGGCCAATGCATCCATATAATCGCATTTTAAGACACAATTCATCATTTTAAGACTATTAAAAATGAATAGAGATAGTGTGGGAGTCGATCAATATCGATTATGGTAACATTTGAGGAAAATATTGGTTTTACACTTGACGATTGTACACTTATATGAGTATCTTGTATAGTATATGAGTATCATGTATGAAATTCAACATATTTATGTGATCTTGTATTCCAAACGCAACAATAATGCTCACCTACCTTAGAATAGTCATCTAAAACATAATTTATGCATCTCCTATACTTATTGATCATTAAAGCATCAATGAAATTGGTACAATTCAATTCATCACAAAATATGGTACGCTTTGTTCATCAAGTAAGTACAGTGAATACACATGTGAAAGACAAGTTATTCGTGAATATAGTAGGCTTTGGTCACTGATAAAGTATATGTTTGCCATTCATATAGTATTGTTACACTCTATATATTATTGTGGGGCCAATGCATCCATATAATCGTTTTTTAAGACACAATTCTTTATTTTAAGACTATTAAAAATGAATAGAGACAATGTGGGAGTCGATCAACATCGATTATGGTAACATTTGAGGAAAATATAAGTTTTTCGTGAATACACATGTGAAGTACAGGTTATTCGTGAATATAGTACGCTTTGTTCATCAAGTATGTACAAGGCTAGTGTTGACAAAGTATCTTCGAATAGACTAGAAAGTATGTGTTGCTCATTTTTATGGTATGCTTATATTCTTTATACAAACTAATTCAGCGCAAAATAAAGTACCATGTGTTCAAAAGGTAAGTACATTTCATCGAAACATATAGTACAATGTATACAATGGAAAAGTACGAGTAGAGCTAACCAATAGTATTTTTAGCTCTACAACAAAATGACAGATTGTTTATGGCACAAAAACACATTTATCTGTTCATGAATTAGAAAAAAACACAAAAGCCCCAAAACACTTCCACTCCAAGTTTGTTCACAATAACGCTACATCTCTTTCATCTTTAGCTTCGACTTCTACTCCCCGATGCCTCAGAAAGATAACTGCTAGTTTAGGGCGAAGTATTTTGATATCGCAAGTTTTTGCCTTAAACCAAATATATGTACTGTCTACAGCATGACAATATGCCCACATGCAGACAAACAAGCCGCAATCAATATTCCCATCCTGCTGCCTGCATCCACGAACCCATTGAGCTTCCGATTATATCTCCAACCCAGACCTTCTTTCAATTACCTTGCTGTAAAACGAGACCTACGAAAATAAAATATTATATTAGTCTACAACAAAGCCAGTACATAAAGAATAACTAATTACAAGAATATGGGCTTACGACATAATTCGCAATTCCTGGGAAAGTCGGAGAATAGTATATGGAGTTCCAATGGTAAATACAGTTATCTGTATTTACCAGAAGTGTGCTCAAGATTGCATTTGCGAATGCTAAATAACTTATCTGACTTGTACAATGATGCATAAACCCTCCATTTGCAGTTTTCGACAATGCATACTGCTATGATCTTTTGTTGATCATTTTTCATGTACTTAAATGATCGATAATTAGCAATAGAATAGGTTTTCAGCATACGCCTAAAATCATCAGGATCTTTAAAAAACTGATTCTCCCCACGGATGCAATGTCTCCATGCATCAATTGAATTTCCAAGCGGATTACCATCAATTTCCATCGATTAATCGCCGCTTTTGGTTTTAAAAAAATTAAAAAATGGATTACAATAGAGTGGAATCCAAATAACAATGTTCATGAAAATATCATAACAATGCACTGGTTCCATACTATCTTCTCTATTGTACGATACTAAGTTTTCCCACAAATAGTACCAAGTTTACCTATCACCCATACTGTCCGAATAATGGTTACGTACTATCTTCCCCAGTATATGATACTATGTCTTCCCACCAACAGTACCAAATTTACCTATCACCCATTCTATTTTCAGATAAAGGTTACGTACTATCTTCCCCATTATATGATACTATGTTTTCCCACCAACAGTACCAAGTTTACCTATCACGCATACTATACGAATAACGATTGCGTACTGTAAGTACCATACGCCCATACCATATTTATATTAGCATGATACTATTACGTGTCATATTCTATACTATGTATCACACAATAATTAACAACCATAAAGAAATGCATTTCAGCAGTACAGAAAAGGATGAAGACCTACCAGCCATCGGTGCGAACCCTCTTTCCACGCTAATTAGCTTCATCTTTGCGGATCACGACAATGTCGACCACACTCAACTTCATTATAAGATGCAATGCAACCATATTCTCCACATCTTCATCACTACCCAATTTCACATACAATATTTCCCCATGAGCCAAGTATTGGAGGATCAGTGCATCTGGATGGATATGATTCCACTTGTTGATAATAGCACCGTATATCTCAATTAAGGTCGAATTACTTTTGATGGAAATAATGTGAAGTTGATCTTTGTATCGACAACTTCCAAGAATCACAGTGGGCACATCATTAGGTACATCATTTGTAGCCATTGTGGGGTGGGTGGATTTTACAGTGATTTTTTTGTCGGAAAAAAAGGAAATCAGAGGAGAGAAAGAGAGAAGAAAGAGAGCAGATAAAAAGGTAGAAAGGAAGAAAGAAACAGAAGATGAAGAGAGAGAAAAGGAAGAGAGAGAAAATGAGGAGAGAGAAAATGGTGAGAGTGAAAAAGAAGAGAGGATATAATAAAATATATTAAATTCACATTAGGGACTGATCTGCATGTTAGACGCGTGAGTAGATAGGAACTAATTTGCTTGGGAAAACTACCTAGGAACTGATCTTTATTTTGTGTTTTGGATTAGAGATTTATCTGTAGTTTCCCCTTGTAATATAACAATTAAATGATGATTGAACATATATGTTTTGTTTGATGAGATCTAAAACTTAATTACATCACCACTCAATTACAAAAAAATAATCAAGTTATGTTGAAAATGAATATACTAGATTCTATTAATGTAGATAAGTTCAAAACATTAAAGATCATAGAATTATCTAGAATTATTGAATATGGAACGATACACAAATGTGACTCCTCTGACAAAGATTCACATACGAATCTATGTATAGAAATAGAATGTTATTAATTATAGTTAATGTATTAGATTAGATACATTTGTTGTAAATTTGAGTGAGTTGTAAATTTGATGATTGTGTATAATATAGTAAAATGTTTGTTTATCTCCTCTTTAGTACTTCTCCTCTCTACTTTGATTTATTCCGCTACTTTGATTGTGTATATATATTGTGCAAACGATCCAACAAAAATAGTATCAGAACGACGATTTAGAGAAAGATCGATGCAATCACAAGTAGAGCTTTCCAATTTCAAAAGCTTGCTAAAGAAATGTAAAATCGGCTTCTCTTTGCGGCAGTAAACTGTCACTTTGCACTCATTTGTTTATAGGGGAGGTAAATGTAATATCATGAGATGTTAATGTTAGGAATTTCAATGTCTAGGGGAGTTAAAAGTAATATATTTCTATATTAGAAATTGCATTAGTAATTTAGTATAGCTAGATGGATAATTATACCATTATTTTGCAAATTTCGCGGCAGTGGTAGCAGCGCCGGCGGTGGAGGACTCAACAACCGCGGTTGTGCCCTCATATCAGAATTTTGCCACCGCCACCGTCACCGCCTCCTCCATTGCCTCCCGCGTCGTCACTGTTTCTCCACCATTCATCGATTTGCGTGCACTTGCCTAGCAATCGCACCTTCTCCGGTCGCCGTCGTCGGCCTCCTGTCGCTGACGTCGAGAGAGATTGAGATGAGATAGATATGGAAAATGAGAGAGAGAGAAGAACGAGAATTGTGGGTTTGATGTTAATGGTAGGCTGGGAGAAGAACAAAGACGAAAGAATAAACGAGAAATAAAGAGAGATTGTGCGTTTGAGATTTAGGTTGGGATGTTTATTAAAGGGGTAAAATAGGAATAACATATTTTTAAGGGTGGGTCTCACTAATTTAAATTGACATTTGGGTTATGAAAAAAGTATTTAAAAGTCAATTGAGTTTAGTTTAAAATATTTTCCATTTGAGAAGGGTATTGCATATTTCCCAAAAAAAATGTTAAATAGGGCCGTGAGGTATACTAAAATAATTTTAATTTTTAAGATCCCTGTGGTATTGGTAATTACTGCCACATCCCTGAAACAATTACCGGAGCCAAGATTTCATGTCCTAGGGACCGATATGCACTGTATTTATTTCCCGCAGAGCCGTTAATGCTACCATAGACGAAAATTTATAAATCTTATATGAAATAATAAGGACTTAAGAATTGTTAGGAGTGTCATGACACCCATTAGCTCTATGTTGTCTCCACCACTGCCTGAAACTAATAGTCCGTTATAACCTTAATGTAATAACTTATCTAATGCATTATTCTGTTAGGATTTCTAACAATATTTTAGGGGTCTGATTGTAATTATCAATACAACAGGGACCTTAAAGTTTTTTGACATACATCAAGGGTGTAAACATCTGAAAGCCTACCTAACATTCTATCTGAGAGAGGAAGAATCTATAATTTCACTATCTCACAGGGGATCCAAGTGAAATTACTAGTATATAAATTCACATTAATATTTTACCCGATGTAGCATCAACATGAACATCGATTATGTCCACAAAAAACAATATAGCTACCTACCTATAGACATTACTATACCGACATCCAAATTCAAATTAACAGCCACATTGCAACAAAAATACCAATTTACATATTTCGAAACAAACGTGTTCGTAGAAATGATTCACAAGACAAACTATTCACTCATCGTTCTATGTACAATTCCAGTACCAGTTACTAAGGAAGAAACAATGGTTAAAAATTGGTACATAACTTACTAACAAACATTTAACATATTTTCCAACTATTTAAAGGCTATATAAATTCAAATCTTTGTCAACCTAAGTTAATAACTATACTTTAAAATTTGATTCTTCACAACTTCAGCCACAATCGATTCTTAGCCTCTTTAACTCAACTTGGAAACTAGGGCTTGATTTTAGTGTTCGTTGACCAAGAGCTCTTATATCTTCCCTTGAACAATCTCGAGATATACGAACGAGTTCCCACAGGGCCCCACCATTAATCATTTCCTTTGCATTCACCTCTGTAATTAAAGACAGTTCTGGCAGTTTAGTTATACCATTGACTAAGTTTTTTTTTAAGGGTAAAAAATTAAAATGAAATTTCACCGTGTTGTGCTAAATGGCAGAGTGCTAGTTCAATGTGACGCCTGATTGGAGAAGCTTCGTTATTAGCATTCTGCACAATCCAGGGGAGTGCACCATCTTCAATTAGTACTGACCTCCCACTCTTAGTTCCTGTATTAAAAAATTAAAAAATTATCAGTTTACAGATAGTTGCGTTTGTATCATGTTTAAGAGGAGTTCGTATAGAGTGTGAATGCGAATAGTAAATCAGCAAGGTAAAATTCTTCTGGATGTGAAGACATCATTCCTGAAATCTGTGTACTAAGAAGTCCGATGAATTGGTAAATGAGAATGAAAAAAGAACATTGAAGATACTTAATGACGAATTGCATAAAGTATCATTCTCGTAGCATTAATATGAACGAGACTAAGTAGTTGACCTTGAGTAGATGCTCTAGACTCGCATTTTGCAAAGTTTGCGATTCCACGAGCAACTTGAGCGAGAACGTCTGGATGTTTGCATCTAACCATTCCTAGCAGAGCCCTAATACCGCCTTCAGCTCTTAGCTTCCCTTGTAACTTATCTGTGAGAGTAACAGCAAATATTTAGCAAGTAACACGAACTTTATCATAAAATATTTTATACAACAGAAAAAAGATTAGTAATAAATGAGAAGTTTTACCATTGCCGCAAAGATTAGCAATGGCTCCAGCGACCATACGGAGCGTCTGAGGGTCCTCTGCCTTGGTTGCTGTCAGTGATAACAAGCTTATGCCTCCTTGAGACATTATAAGCTCCTGGTTCGTTTCTGCCAATATTAACCAACGAGTTGTCTTCAGAAAAATGTAATACAGAATATCTTCTTCACGAGTAAACATATAAATTCGAAATGGAAAAATGTACCATTCATTGCAAGATTTGCTATAGCCCCAGCTGCAACGCGATGTATGGTCTCATCAGTGGAACTTCTCAGGAGTGTAAGTAACGATGTAAGTCCACCGGCCTCCACAATCCTTTCCTGGTTCGACTCTGAATATTAAGGAAATAATAATGAGCTGTAAAATTCATAAGCAACCCCAGTTTGAAGGATCGAACAATCGAATGAACATTGTAGGACATGGAAGTTCTCCATGAAAAAAGATAAACACCAGCTTTATATAGAGAGAGCTTCACAATGATTTAGCAAAATGGTTCTTTTCCATCCAAGTTCATATATATTTTTTGGGTAAATTACAAATAATCCCCTGATGCATGCCAAAATTGCAAAAATACACTACTTAGCAAAAATTTATTTACCCCCTCAAACCGGCAGCCTGTTAAAATAATAACAGAAATAACAAAAAAAAAGTGAAATGTCTAAATCGTCCATCAATTAAAAACTGGTTAAAATATCTTAATGCAAAATATTTATTATACCCCGATACTAAAAAAAATGGATATATTTGATGTAAAAGAGTTCATAATCATTTGTCTATTCATCTTCCTTCGTTTCCATAAAACCATAATGAGAGAAATTATGAATGGAGCAACGATAGATAAAGGCCATCTTGGGATTAAATTAAGTCTAAACCAATGGCTAAAAAGGTCAAATTTCACATTATTCGAAAATATTACAATAAACCCACTCGGAAATGAAAAATCTTACAATTACACCCACTAAGGATATTTAGGTAGTGACATGACACGTGCAAGGATGAATAATTAGAAAAATAACAATATTCCCTAGAATCTAAAGATTCTGTTAGCCATAACACTGTAAGGGCAAGGGAAAAATGTTAGCAGAGAATAAGCATCTAAGCTCCAATATTAGCAAATCGGAACTAATTGCTGTACATGCCACTGACACGAACCTAATCAAACTGACATTAAGTTCTTAAGATACAGGAGCCAGTCTCGTTTCATAAGGATCATTTAAATCATCAAAACCAAACAAAGGCAGAAGAAACATGGAAAACAATATATACCAAACGAATAGGAAATGTCTTAGATCCTACCTTCCGCTGCAAGGTTTGCAACTACTTTAACAGCATGAATGCGTACATCAGCATCTTCTGATTCAAGTAATGACAAGATTTTGTGCAATCCCACTGTTGCGATATGTCAGATATCAGAAAACACAACGCAAAAGAGGGAAAAAATAATAATAATAAATAAATAAATATAAAATAAAAATTATAAAAAAAAAACAAAAAAAACAAAAACAAAAAAGCCACCTTGTTCAAAAAGTTTCACCATCGAAGTTTTCTCTCCATTGCCGGACTCTCTGGGCTCTTGATGGTTGGACTCGGGGGTGAGAGAATCCACGGGACTAGGTATCTCTCCAGTCAAACCTCTATCAAGATTTCTTCGTGACTACAAAGTCGTTAAGAATGAATGTTGATAAATTCTCATGCACGACATTTGAAAAATACATACTTATTTTATTGGCAAACAAGAAAGTCATGTATTACCAGCCAAATTCAGCTCATACAACAATGCTAGAGACTAATGAAGTTAAATCCATAGAATATATAAATGCATTTTAGAACTATTAATATTGAAGCAAAATGTGGTTAAGTTGTTAATCTAATAGTAATATATCCCATAAAATAGGAACGTGGGGAAAATGTAAAATACTAAAACTATAAGGGCATATTTATAAATTATATACATATATTTATTCTGTTTATTTTTAGATTATAATTTTTATATATCTTTATAAAATATATTCAATTGAATATTACTATCAATGTGCAATTAATTATCAAATAATATTAATAATTAAGGAAGCAGAAAAATGTTTGGGAAAAAGTATTTTCTGGCAGGTATCAAAAAATTGATTCCGGAAAGTGTTTGACATGCAGAAACTGCAAGAGTTTCCATGCATGCTGAACGGATGGGATCAATTGAACTTGTTTTCGTTTAATTGGTAACTGGAATTCACATTAATAGTATCTGCAACCTGCTTAGGGCTTACCTCATCCGCTTCAAAACTTATTTGCAGTAGCTGACTTTGTAGCAATTCTATTTCGTCTTCGAGTTTGGCTTTCTGTTGTTCTTCATCTTCCAGCATCTTACGAAGCTTCAAGAATTCGGCATTTCTGGCATTCTGGTAACACAACTAATTGCTATTAAAACTCTAAGATACAAAACTTGACAAGAAATAATAAATGTTCTGATAATAAATTAAGAAATTAACGAATAGAACACCTCAGTGTTTTTCCAATGAATCAATTGATTTTCGAGATTGTCAACTTCAGCTTCTGCAGCTTTGCGCAAGGCAATTTCATTGTGAAGCTTTTGTTTAATCTCCGCAACTTCGCCTAAAGCCAATAGCATGGTAGGCTACAGGAAATAGAAAAAGAAAATAGTAGCATTTTAAAAACTGACTGAGATAAAATCGGAACTTTAACTATCTGGCAGCCAAATTAGAGAACAGTATCAAAATTAAGGAAAGACAAAGAAAAGGCAAATCAAAAGATGGCAAAATAAATATTACTTCGGGATTTTATAGATAAATTATTTTCTGGGAGTCTAAATGTAACTCTAAGAACATAATCAACAGCAAACATAGAGAAGACGGATATTAGTATCACAGACAACTACCGAATTTTCAAAACTTAGCAGCCTAACATTCCAATCCTTAACTAAAAGCATCACGTGAGGGATTTTATTGTGCATACCTCTGTGTTTGACCTCCTAACGGATTCCATGTAATCTTTCTGATATTTCAGTTTCTCCTTCTGAAAAAGGTAGCAATACTTAGAGATTTGAAGTGCAAATCTAAACTCAGATAGCTATCAGCATATGGACTTATATAATATCAACTCATATTTACGAAACACTTTCTCCATATTACCAGAAAAAAAATACGGAACTATAACAAACGAAATTAACATGATACATATACTTTTGCGCAATTATATACATATAGTGCATTCGCATACCTCTAATGCATCAGCATAGTTTTGTTCCACCTCATCAACACGCTCTTGTGCTTCCAAAGCTATCCTTTCAATCTCGTCCTGAAATACTTTTTGTTGCCTTTCATGTTCTGCAATTAATTTGTCCAATTGTATTTCGAGCTTCCTTGATAAACTTCTGTAATCAAATTCCTCTTTGATTTTTAGCATATTTTCCACTTTCATAGCCTGCATAAATCAGTATGGTAACAACAATGAATCAACAACAGTCACAACTACAATAATACGTACAGTACTAGACTCTTATCCGGCCCAAAAATTAGTGTTTCATAATATCTTTTAAAACTTCCATTTATCATTTTGAGGATCTAAGCCGACATTAAATAGGGACAGTTGGATATACACAATTATCTTCAAATGTAACCTAGTAAATACAAAGAAGAGTAACTAGATAAGCCTAGATATTTAATGCTCAAATTTCAAAGAAATGCAGCGGAAAAATTGATTCACCCGTTGTCCAAACATGATGGTACTAGATGTCTCCCCTCGATGACGTGGTGATGGCCCAACAGTAATAACCAATGAGGTTCTTGCTGTACCTACGAGTTGGACATTGTTCACTGTATTAAATAAACATTTCATTTCATTGGATCTTTTAGTTACTCTATTATTTCCAGGGTTTTTTTTTTCATTTATAATAATAGGTTCTTTGCATATAATTTGATGATAGCATCCTCATTTTCATAAATTATCACCTCCAAAAGAATCTCGAAGCAGTCTAGTAAGCTTTGAATCACGGACAGGAACATGGGCACTGTTCTCGGCCAAAGCATTAATGCACTTTCCTAGTGCACTCAAAGAGAGATTGATAGATTTGGCCTCCTCCAATGTATGACCCTCACTCCCTGCCGCCAGAAGGAAACAAATATTATTGAAAGTAGGAAGAAGAAAGGACTACATTCTGCCGCTTATAGATGCCAAAGCAATATCTTCTTTCAAAAATAAGTAACGGAAGTATACTATGAAATGTGTTGTTTAGCGAACCTACAGACGAAAGATAAATGCCATAACCACATGAAGTAATTATAGTAACTACAGAATGGCGCATCCACTTTTCCAATAAAAGAAAGAGAGATATAAATGGACTTGGGATGCAGAGAGGCGAACCAACATAAATACTGGACAACTATCCCTTTAACGAAATACATGAGTTAGTGAGATAGACGATTAAGGATAAGAAACTTGGGATGTGAGATTCTAGAAAGAAATAATTAGAATCGTTTATTAGAAGAATTGCAATACCTGTCAAAGTCATGTTTTTGTGTAGTAATGTTTGAGTCTTTGATTTCGTAAGGCGACTGATTAATTTAACCCACAACTATGCAAATAACTTCTTTTCAAGAACAATGCAAAATTCATAGATAGGTCAATCAGTTTCATAATTATGAAACTGAATGCATATTCCCCTACAATACCAGAGAAATACCTGACTTGTTAATGCGTTCGGAACCAGCAAGATCAACAACAACTAGCTTGCTTTTTCGTACAATGGCAGGCTTCAATGTTTTACCCAATAGAGTCGTGTTACCATTTTCACTTGAAAAGGAAGAATTTCTTCCTTTGACGGACCTCTTTATGTGTACCTGCAAAAAAAAAAAAAGATCCCAACATATTAAAGTCATACAATATGTTAATCAATACCATGAGCCCGCATAATTTAATGCAAAAAAATATCACAAATAGACTGTATTTTATTCACCATTAGAATTGCATGACTACGTGAGGATTCAGTATTTAATTTCGTGTTTGCGGCATAACGATGAGCTTCCCCTAATTGTAGCAGTTCCATAAAACTTTTATGATCCCTAATTTCTACCAAAGTCGCTCCAGGTAGAGAAACATCTCCACTTTTCGGATCTTCTGCAATAGATATATTATCATTAGCTGGATTAAGGAGGTCCTGTATCGTTTCCATGTAAATCTGCAAGAATATATAAACAAAACCAATGTTCAGATACAACCGCAGAATTGAAACAAAATTCCGTAAAAAGGTGATGAATATTCGTAGTTAACAGAACCTGCAAATAAGAGACAGAGACTAAATCATTCTCAGGTGATACTTCTGACAATATATCCTCCATTGCACGCAGCATAATTCCACGATCAGCAACATCTTCTTCTCCGAGTCGTCCCAGAGTATAGGTTTTTCCAGTACCAGTCTGCCCATATGCCATCACAGTTCCGTTGTAACCATCTAAAACACTCTGAAGAAAACAAGATAAACGCATCTACCCATTAAATCGAATAAAAGGAAATTCAGAAGTCCATAAGATATAAATTAATAATAGACATAGTTGAAACTCAGTAGCAGATTCACAGTGCAAAACCATGTCTCAGAAGAGCAAAAAGATATCTTACACAGGTGTGCAATGATATTATTTGCGAAAATGAGGTTGGAAAGAAATTAAAGCATGCCTTATGAAGAACCGGCCTAAGATGGACACATATAGTAAATTAGAATCCAAATCATTTAACACAAATGGGATCCAAGAACATCAGTTAAGAACAAATTACCATTTCCCAAGTCATCAGAAGGAAACCAATTTATCTTATTAAATCAATATTCATTATGACAAGGAGAGTTGATACATAGGCTCTACTATTAGAGTAGAGGTCTGGGGTTCAAATCATGCACCTCCCCTACTTTCCTAATTTGTAACAGAGTTTAGAAAAAATTAATAATCAATATTGATTACTCATGATTTCAGATATCAATATAAAGTAAGAACCAACTTATTCCCATCCTTTAGTACCTGAATCTCGAGGAAAAGGTTTTTGACGTGCCATAGAAACTCATATAAAAATCAAAATACATACAGAGTTCAATCAATTTGTTTAAACGAAAAAGAAAACATTTCTGCAAGGAAAAAAAATGAATAAAGAACTATTTCACGTATAGAGGATAAGAGCTCTGATTTTGGAAGTAATGGGAATACAACAAATAAATAGAATCAACAAATAAGTAAGATTTTGTTTACCTCAACTACTGGCTTTGCTACAATCTCGTACACACGCTTTTGAGATGCAAACTCGGTTAAAACTTCATCAAACTCAAAAGTATCAGAATCCCAATTGTTTTTCCGAAGTTTCAACCGTTTGAGCTGAAATAAAGCCAAGAAAAACGCAATTTGAGATGCAAGGAAAAAGTTCCGACGTCAACTATATTAGTATATTTCCAATTGCCGAAGCAATAAAAACCTGAAAAATAGTCTCCTGGTGATAGACAGATGAAGCATTAGAATACAATGATAGTTGATATACGATTGTACCTCCGGTTGCAATTCCACACAATCAGCAAAATCAGCATCTGCCACCATCTCTTCTGAATTTCTAGGACGTAATCTGACAGCAACTCGCACTCTCCCAGACACTATATCACACCATATAATATTTAGCATGCAATAAGTCTTTAACCTTTTCATAAAATTATTTTACTACCTTGAAAGATGCATAAAAGCACAAGTAACCACGTTGTTTGGAAACGCACCACATCAGGGAAAAGAATGTTAAGAGTGGAAATAATCTAACAAAATACGGAAGCTTTGACTCTTACCAATGGCGAGAAAAGGGAAATAATCACAACTACATCACATTCCCTAAAAAAACATGTATAATTTCAAAGATAATAAATCTTCCCAGGTACAACTTTTAGTTAAACCATGAAATCAAATAATCGCAATTTACGAGAGCATTATCCATAAATCAACTAATTTAGTTCTGATGCAATTGGCCATTACCATTATTAGATTGAACACAAACTGAACTGCAATCCAAAAACAAAAACAAAAAAATCACCACAATCTTCAATTATGCTCTAGGTATAAGAAATTGAAGATCAAAACCTTCACATTCTTCCAACAAACAAACAAAAAAGTAGAAAATAAAAAAAAAAATCAAATTCAAAATCCAACAAGATAATTAATCAAAACAGCATGAAAATCACACGCATTGCGCAGGAAACAACCAAAATTCTCACCACAACTTTTTAACCCAAAAATCCGTAAATCTAAATTAACACAAAAGGTATATTACCAGTAGAATCATCTCGGCTCGAGCCAGTGCTGCTGCGGCGGAGAGTAGAAGAAGAAGAAGCCGTTGACTGATGTTGCACCTTTGACTTGAATGAAGACGACGGAGAGTATTTAGAACTATAATTCTCAGACTTCGCAGCTCCTCCGCCACCACCACCACCGCCGCCGCCGCCTCTGGATATGCTGCCGCCATTTCTGTAGTTACTGCTCGACATTTTCTTCCTCCGATTTTTCTTCACATTTATTATGGTTTACTTAAGAGAAAAGTGATCGGAGAAATTCGAAAATGGGGAGAAAGGTTTATTGGCTTTTGGAATTTCCTGACAGTTGAAAGAAAAATAAATAAATAAATAAATAAAAACTGAAAATGCGAAAAAAGGGCAGATAATGGGATTACTCGATTTATTTATCTATCTGCCAAACGTCGCCTCGTTATTTAATTAATTCATTTTATTTTATTTTTTTCTGGCTTCTAAAATAGATTATGAAAAAAATATTCTAATTAAGATTCAATTAAAATTTAAACAAACGGCAATTTCACTTCATTGGATAAAAACACATGAATTTCGTTCGAAAGTGTAGGTTACCTAGTACACCTATGTAATTAACTGCGGATTTCTTCATCATTGAAAAAATACATGTATTTCCATAATTTAGTTAGGGAAATTGAATTACCTTAATTAACAAAAAAAAAAACAGATAAGTACATATGATTCTTCAACTACAAGTCTTTTATTAGCACTAACTACATATTACTTCACCATTAATGTAGTATTGGGTGAGCAATCATTAGTAACGGTGATGGATCATCAATTTTTATTTTATTTTGCCATTATAACTCGAATTTTAACCCTTTATATTTTGGGTAATTAGCATCTATTGTCCCCAAACTATTGTTATTTGGCAATTCTACCCAAAAAATATTTAGTTGAGTCTTTGACATCCATTTTTCATAAACTTTATTTCTCATTTGGTAATTGTCAATTTTAAGTAATAACTGTCAATATTAAGAAATACATTTGTTCAATATTATATGTCACTTTAGGTTTATAATACTGCATTATATACATTTTTTTGTTCTTATTATTTTGCTCTTACAAATTCAAGTCTATTTATTAACTCAATTTTTTTCACATCATTAAATGAAAAGGGATATTTTACATTTTCAATGTATCCTCCAAATTAGGAGTCTTAACATATAGATCACTGATGACAAAACTTATTAGAATTAAATGACAAGTCAAACTAAACATTTGTTTCACATTTTATTACTCACTTTAATACATAATATCTGTCACTTTACAATTTCAATGCTGCATTAATTACATATTTTACAATTATACATTTATTAACTCTCCAACACTCTTTCTACTTTAATTATTAAACAATGATATTTTGGTCTATCTATATTTATTTTTTTCTAAAATCAAGACATATTTATTGAGATTCTTAAGACTCGTGTCAAGGTGAAAAACGACACACGCTTAGGAACGGAGGGAGTTATTTCATTCCAAAAATGGCTCTTCACTTACAAATTCGAAATATGATTTTAAATAAAATTCAAACTACATTGATTATTTTTTTTCTCATGCATTTAATATCTTCATTTTTCATCTAGCATATTTTATTTTATTTTTATTTTACAGACTTTGACATTTTTATTTTTTTCATTCTAGCATATTTTTTTTACATTATTATAAATAACTTATTTTTTTCCTTATTTTAAAAACTACTCTTTTTTCATTATTTTTATTATGTTCATGCATAACTATCTAACACAATAAATAATGAAAAATAATATGATAATATGGAGGGGGTGTGATTGTCAAATTATTATAGTCTAAGGGAAGTAAATAACAAAATTTTAAATATCTGAGGGTACGGTTACAAAATATCGTAGTTAAGAAGAGGTGGTTGTCGAAAGCTTAAATATTTGGGATGTTGTTATAAAATGGTCGACGTTTAGGGGAGATGGATGCAAATTACTGTTTACATATTTACTACCCTTTCTTGTGATTTTACTTGTCGTTTAAAGTTTAGGCGCACAACTGGTTCTGGAGGGTTGGTTCCTTGTGGGCACCAGATCCAGGTCCACTACCTTAACGGACGGACCGTTGAGTTACCATGGTTTACATTCCTCCATCAAATACTTGTCGGACCAAGGGTTGAGAGCCTTGGGAACGAGGGATTTCGCCTTTTGGTACAAGTTTAGGCACACATATTAACTAACTCATTTAATATATTTTATATGAGGAGTAATGTGTTAACCAGTCGTCGTACCACTCTATGGAAAAATTAGTCAACTAAATCAACTCAATTAATATGAAGTTAACTGATCAGAGCTCCATGGTTCCATTGTCGACGAAACTTTAAAAAAAAAAAGAAAAAAAAAATTAAATAAATAAATCATTTATTTTCAAAAGAAAAGAAATCCCTAATTATGGTTTCAAAAGGGAAGAGGTATAAAACTTTGGGTTTATTTCAAATAAAAATTAGAACTAATGAGTGTTACTAAAATAAAAAACAAAAGGTTAGTAAATTAGTACTAACCCCTCACTTTTCGGTTCGACACGGTTCGATCTGTTTACCGAACCGATGAACACCCTACTTAACATGCAAAAGTGAGACAATCATACACAAATAATAAAATAAGAAAAAGTGAAGTAGAGAAATAGTAGGGGAAAAAGAAAAGAAGCAAAATAGGAGTTTTGTATTTAGAAGTTGAAAGTTGAATGGCGCCAATAGAGTGTTTAGTTTCACTCATCATTCAAGTTTTTTGTATTTGTTCAAATGACGGAAGGGCCCCTCCAAGACTCCAACTTAAAAAGCAAACTTGACAGCCACTACACGTATTTTATTTTTTATATACTTGTGTTCAAACAAAATGTGCAACCATGTTTTATTTAATTTTTGTACCTAAATAAAGAAACTAATGCATCTTATATAAAAATATATATTATTGATGGTTCAATCTCGACCAGGGGTGTACTAAACGAGCCCAGCTCGCCAAGCTCGAGCTCGTCGAGCCTTCATTTTAAGAGCTCGAGCTCAAGTCGAGTCAAGCCCTATTGAGCTCGAGCTTAGCTCATTTTATTATTCTTTTAATTTTGTTTTTATTAATTTTTACATAATATTAATATTATATTTTATTATAAATATTTATAAAATAAAAAAGTTATGGAATAAAAAATAGAATTGAATTTATCATTTATTATAAATATAAATATATTTATTATTATAGAATATAGAAAAGCTCGTGAGCCGGTTCATGAGCTTATAAACAACTAAGGATGTGATCGAGTTCGAGCTCATTAAAAATCTCGAACTCATCAGAAAGTTTAAGCTCGCCGATTCAGCTCATTTACACCCTTAATCTCAATAATGATAAATTCAAACAATCAATTGAGAAAAGTGAGATTTGTGGCCGAGGCACACTAAAGAAATCTTACCTACAAAATATATATGCCTAGATTATTCCATTTTCAAATATGTAGAAGAAAAATAAAATTAACTAACTTTTCATTGTTGCATCATTTAATCTCCACATTTTAGAAATTACACTATATTTGACGTGGCTTTATTTATTTATTTCAAATTTCTGTGGCATTACTAGTTGTAGCCTTAAATACAAACATAGGGAGAGGAGGTTTATATATTAAATAATGAGTGGACATAAATGTAATTTGTGAAGCTCAATAATAAAAAGGGCAAGAGGAGACCACCGTCTAAAAAGTGCACTCGAATTAATGGTCCACCTTGTGCAATTTGTTGTACTAATTCATGCTTTTGATGAAATTTCATTTTTCCAATGTTTGAATCAAAGGAAATAATAGAGGTGGGTCATGGATTTCATTCTACTCAATTTTGTCACACAATATTGCTAGTGTGCATTGAATTTGGATGAATGCAATCAAAATGACTAGGTATTTCTTTCCTTATGCATTAAGGTTATAAAGCTACACTCAACACCAAAAGTGAAAATTTTCGTCCCAGGGGCCCCATTTCCTGGCCCGATAAGTTTATAAAGCTGCACTTGTTTAGTCGAAGCAGTGTCCCCTTTTTTGAGTAATGAATTAGATTATATCATATAAAAAAATAGGGTAAATTACAACCACCCCTGAGGTATGACCAAATTACGAAAACTCCCCTCTTGTTTGGGTAATTACAACCACCCCCTCAACTATAAATATTTTTACACGTCCACCCTTGGGGTTCAAATTTAGCGGGAATTTTCGAGATTATATGGAATATTATCACTTTTGTACCCGCTTTATCCCATTCGAACTTCACATTTTGAAGCAAGATGATCATAATATGTGTTTTTCGGCTTGTATATATCAGATTGTGATGCATCATGAACTGTATTTTTACACAAAACGAGTAAAAACTAGATCACATTCCACGAAATTTAGATAATTATGTTGAATTTGACACCATAAAGGGGAGGCGTAAGAAAAAATCATAGTTGAGGGGGTTAGATGTAATTATCAAAATAAGAGAGATTTTTTCGTAAATTGACCATACCTCAGGGGTGGTTGTAATTCAACCCCAAAAAAAAAAAACTTTATTGGAAATTAGATGCAAAATGCGCTTCTATGTCAATTAGATGCAAAGATATTTAGGCAAAGGAGGCAATGCCCTTTGAACAAGGGAAATGAAAAACAGTCTTCATTCTTTTATAACCAAAGTCACCAATTCAAGTGTTTAATGCAACCATTATTTCAATAAATAGCCATGAAATGTAATATTACCTAACTTCATAAGTATTTTCTCTGCACCTAAAAGACATGCTAAATACACAAGCAATGTGACCTCGAAATCTTGAAAAACCAGCTATGTAGCTAGAAAAAAGGGGTTGTGTACCAATAAAATTGTACGAGTGTGTCTATAATTAGTGTAATCTACGGCCATCCTTTAGGTAAGGTCAAATGATTAAAAAAAAAAAAAAAAACTTCATGTTTGAATAGTTACAATTATCCCCTCAACTATGAATTTTCTTACACGTCCGCCCTTTATGGGGTCAAATTCAACATAATCTTCTAGATTCCGTGAAATGTTTTCTAGTTTATACTCGTTTTGTGCAAAAATGTAGTTTATGATGCCCCACAATCTGATATTTACAAGCCAAGGGACACTTCTTATGATCATTTTTTTTCAAAATGTGGAGCTCGAATGGGGTAATACGGGTACAAACTAGAGAACATTTTACATAATTCAGAAGATCCCACCAATTTTGACACCGCAAAGGCAGACGTGTAAGAAGATTCATAGTTGAGGGCGCTTGTAATTACCAACTAAGATTTTTTTAAGTAATTTGACCTTATCTTAGAGACGGTCGTAATTTATCCT